CTCCACTGCCACCTGCCAGCACGTCTCCAGCCTTCCCTACTGTCCCCGAGGCCCCGGCACCACTGCCCTGTGGCACCCCTGGAGCCATCACTGCTGTCTGGAGTGGTGCAGGCCCTGCGAGGCCGCCTCCTGCCCAGCCTGCGGCCCCCAGGACCAACCCGGACCCCACCCGGACCCCACACGACAGTCCTGTCCCCAGAGGATGAGGACGATGTGCTGTTGGTGCCACTGGCTGAGCCAGGGGTCTGGGTGGTCGAAGCGGAGGATGAGCCACTGCTTGCCTGAGGTGACCCGGCTTCCCTGGGGTCTCTATTCACAGTGACAACCCTTTAGAGAGCAGATCAGCTTCCCTTCCACTACTTCCCTCCTGTCCCTCAGTCTGAGGGCACTTGATGGGCCTCCCACTGATCCCATGTAGCTACTGTAAAGTTAGGTGTCCCTCAGGCAGGGAGAGGGGTCACACAGAGCCCCCTCTGTGCACGCCAGAGACCACAGCCCACTGCCACCCCCACCCCACACCACCACCACTTGGGTGGCTGTTTTTAAAAAGTAAAGTTCTTAAAGGGTCATAGGCCTGGATACTCCATCCTTGCCAAAGCCCCATCCAAAAGTGGCCTTAAGCACCAGGATGCCAACTGGCTGGAGACGTCCAGCTTCCAAGGGGAGGATTTGGGCAGGGTCTGAGGTTTTGCCAACGGTAATCCCGTCTACAAGTCCTGGCTCATAAAAAGAGCACAACAAATGCTTTTATTCCATAGCTAAATCATTGCCCAGGAAGCCAAGGTTGAAAATAAAGGAATCAGAAATTTAAGATTTTTGTAAATGAGCTGTGAGCCTGAGTCCTGCCTCTCTACCCATCTCAGCTTATGCTCCCCTCACCTTGCTCCTCCCTGTGAAGGCCTTGGTTCTGCCCTCCACCTCCTGTCCTCTTCCTGCTTATCGTCCAACCACCCTGCCCTGGTGGGGCACTCAGAGGGTGAAAAAATTCTAGGAACCTAAGACTAACCCTCTCTACCTCCACTCACTGCCTGGGGCCCAGCTCTACAGTGACTGACCCCGGGGCTGAGCACTAAGCCTTTGCCCTCACTGCCAGGCAGGAATTTGTGAGCCAGCTGGGCACTGCAGCTGGGAAGCTTCCCATTTACAGAGTATTCGCAGAGCACATGTCACAGAAGTGGGCTGTCCCTGATGGAACGCAGGAGCCATGACTCCTGCCCTCCATCCTCCACCCCACCATGCGTTTTCAGTCTGTCCTAGGCAAGACAGATGAACTCTCAGCCAGGATGCCTCAAAGCGGCAAAGATGTGTCCAGAGAAAATGCATAAACATTCAGGGTGTAAAGACGCTAGCATCACCCTGGCCAAATCCAAGAGGTCCTCCTGGAAGAGAGCCCAAACTGGACCTTAAAGAATGCTGTCCGAGGTGGAATAGAATTGTGAATTGTAGGCAGGGTGAGAGTTCACGGGATAAGTAAACTAAGCAGACAGTGACTGTAGGAGGGACCTGGGCTTCCTGAGAAGGGGCCAGGTGTGTAAGCAGCGGCCAGAGCCGAAGAACGGGAGAGGGTGATGGAAGAGGAGGGAATGATCTCTGGGAAATGCTGGGACCCAGCCTCTGGTAAGGACAGTAACCGTTGTCCCGGAGTTTAAAAGGAAAATCAGAAAAACAAACAAAAATGAAAGAAAGGAAAATCAGTCAAGACAAAGAATTTAGAAAAAGTCCAGAGGGTGGGTGTGCCCCCAAGAACAGCACTGAGCCATTCCCTTACAGAACCAATCCCCAGAGAAGCGGGTTCCCCCTTACGCTCGCCCTTACCTTTCCTGCCTAGCCTGGCCTGTCCCTGCCCCTCTGGTGGAGGGGCCCTGTGGATTACACCCTGTCAACATCCTCACGCCAGCACTAATTGCGTGTTTCCTCTCCCAGTGAGGAAGAGCCTAGGGAAATGGTAGAGAGGGGATCCGGGGCAGTCCTGGGACACTGGCATCTTGGCTCCGGGAAGACTCAAGCTCCTTTCATTCCACACCCTCTCCAGAGATTGGGGAAGGGGCTCCAGAGGTCTTCATCCTTGCTGGCTGTTCTCCCTTTGGACCTGCCTTCCACGGTGTAAACAATCCCTGGGTCCCACTAGTGTCAGGCCCAGTGAGAACAGTGAAGCAGGGAATGTTGATTTCCTCTCCTGTGTCCTCCACCACCTCCCCTCCAGTGCTCCTCTCTTCTACCTCACATCCTCATCCCTTGTCCTGCTCCAGACCTTTCACCTCCCAGGGGTATTTGGAATTTGAAAGTGGACAAAGATTTAAGGTAAAAGAATGCCCCTCATGGTGGAATGCTTCAGAATGCTGGAGGGAGGACTTGAGGGAAGAGTTCACTAGGGAGGCCTGTGCACATAGGTTCATGGGCCTGAAAGACGCTCACCCGGGTGCTGGGTCATGCTCCAGGAGGTACAAGCAGTAACACTATGTCAGCCTCAGTGAAGCCCCAGGTTGGCGGGGAGAGGGGACTGACCTTGTACAGGCAGAATGGAGAAACTCAGAGGGTCCCACCTAGGCAAGGGTGGAGCATTGTGGAGCTGTCACCCAAGTTTATATTCACCATGGAAAATGAAATGAGATGACTTCAAATCAGGATAGACACCACTATCCAAGGTGCCCAGTATCAGGGGTGTGGAACTCCTGTCAAGTCCCTTGATGGGGAGGAAGGAGGCGATCTCACTTATGAGATGGGAATCAAGCTGCAATCTGCGATAATCTGAGCAGATACCAGAAGTCAGTCCTTAAGGAGCAGAATCTGGGCCTGCTCCAAGCTCCAAGCCACTCTGGGAGAAGAGGGGGACCCCTAGTCACATGGCCTGAGGCTGTTGGAGCACCCAGTGGTCAGGCAACCTGTTGAGTGCCAGACCCTTTACCTCACAAGGCTGTGCCATGGGCATCACGGCCCCAATTCACAGGCTCAGGAGCAGCTTCGGAGGAATTATGAGACTGGCCCAGTCTCTACTGAGAGGCAGAATTAAACCTGGATCACCTCGGTTCCAAATCTCACCCTGTCCCATTTTTCCACAGGACCTCCCATTCCTGAGGGAGCCTGGATGTGGGCAAGTTCACAGCGTCTTATCAGTGGAAAGAGACCTGGTGGTTCAGGGTGAAACCCAGCCTGCTTCTTTGGCCTAAGGCTGGATTGAGGGCAGGCCGAAGTCACGGTCAAGAATCCTCGCTGGGGTCTGCAGCACACCTGACACTTACCTGGTACCCTAGAAAGGAATCCTACCCACTAAATAAGTATTCCAGACACACAAAGTTCACTCCTTTACAACTTAAGACTTTAAAAACTCATTTTGGAAGGAAGTCAAACCTAACACTCATCTTTAGCACATCTGCAATAAAATATTAATCTTTCTGGATAGCTGAGGGTCATTCATAGAAACCAATGACTTCTTTACAGCAGTGTTTTCAGAAGCTGTAACAGTGTCAGGGAAGCTATATGTCTTAATACCAGATGACCTTAGACCACTTTTTAAATGCTTATGACTGCTTTGAAAGTCTTCTGTGATGTTGTTGCCTCCTTGCTGTCGGGCTATCAGTGGTCACTCGCTGCTGTAAGTGGGCTTCTAATCTTTGAGCACAGGAACACACATGGACACATTAAAACTGTGAATAAAGTAAGGACAAGTGGGCTGTGACTGAGGACTAGAGAGCCTGTCCAATGTGTGAAGTGCATGAGGATTGTAGCTGTTTAAGAGTTCTTTCTGCTCCTTCTAGACCCCACAATGCTGCCCTGCAGCTGGACCTCCAGATAAGCGAAGTGTCACTGCACAAGTGATCCCAAGATCACTATTTGCTTCTTTGATTGGAAAAGCCCACTGAAAATCGAAATATGTTCTCAATAATAGGATACAGTTGGAATATTTAAGACAAGGAAGGCAGCATAGCATAGAATGCTTAGCATTGGAATGCTCTGGGTGGGAATCCTGGTGTCCCCATTTTCCAGCTGCATGATTGATTTGGGGCACAGGCCACCCACCTGTCACTCTGAGCATCAGGGTCATGAGGATGAAAGGAGATAATGCAGGAAGGTGCGTAGCACAGCACCTGGCAAAAATGGAGCAAGAAGGGGCCAGGAAATCAGAAATGTGTGTGTGGATGCTTGGGGGTGTCAGGAAGGAAGACAAATGGGAGCCTGAAGCAAAAGGGACGAGGCAGAAAAGGAGCAGTAAAGAAGCCCAGACATCCTAGCTTCCCACTAAGGCATAGGCATCGTCTTGTGTCTGCCCTGTGCAGCCCAGGAGGCCCGGGGCAGCCCCAGAGAGCACTGAGAGTGGGGCTGGTGCCCCCTGGGATTGGGAACATCTTCTAGAGGGCTAGTTGTCTCTCCCCTTTTTCCTGCTCTGATTAACACAAGGTGGGTGGCCCTGGCAGGGAGGGAGATGGGGAGAAAGTCCCCACAGTGGTTTGTACCCACCAGAACCTATTAAAAGAATGAAGCTGCCCAAACAAAGCAGCCATCACTCCTGTCTCCCTAGGGGCCGGGGAAATGGGGACTTTCATGGGTCTTAGCCCAGAAGGGGTAGTACTGGGAAGAAGAAGGTAGTAGGGAAGCTTGGTGGTGGGCAGGGTGGCTGTCCTCCTGTCCCTGCATCTCTTTTGGTTTCTGCCTCTAGCCCTTCCATTTAGCCACAGAGCACCCAGTCTGGGCTGGACACTGGGCTGGAGGGCTGGGATGCAGAGACAAATGACACAGTCCTAGCTCCTGGAGAAAGACCGCCCAGGCCCTGGGTCCTGGCCTCCTGCCATCCTCAGCTCCCTTATCCACTGACCCCTCACCCCACTTCTTTGAACCCATCTCTTCTGCCCTTCTGACTTTGTCCTGTTCATGTCTTAAGCAGACTCCACAGTGTGTGTGCTCCCAGAGGAAAGCGACACAAAGGAAGGGGGTGCAGAAAGGAGGGAATCCCGCTGACATCACTGCTCATTAGCATGTGTGACCTCATCAGGGGGTGGGACTATTTCCCCAGGTGTCGGGTGGGGAGGGCTGGAGGGGTGGTATTTAAAGGGAAAAGCTGACTGTGCGGCTGAGAGGGAGCGGGTGCTGCGAGCCGCCAGGCTGCACACACACACGCACACCGATGCACACAGACCTCGACACCGACATGGACACGGACACGGAAACCACAGCACTCTGCCCCTCTGGCAGCCACCAGGCCTCCCCTCCAGGGACGCCCACACCAGGTGAGGGCTAAGCTGGCAGGTTCTCGCTGAATCTATGGGGGTGGGAGCTGAAGCTTTGATGGGAAGGTCAGAACTAGGGGTTGAAGAAGCTTGAACCCAAACAGCAAGAGGAAAGAGCAACTCAGGAAGTAGGGAAGCCTCCTGTCCACACTAGGACTGGGGCTGGGCTGAGGTAGGGGTAGGGGGCAGCTGGGGACTGCCTAAATATCCCCTTACCCACCCGTCACCCAGGGCTTCACTGGGGAAACTGGTGCTTAGCCCCAAGGTCTGCCTCATTCCCAAGAGGCTGGGATGCGCAGGAGGGAAGGGGGGAAGAAAGGGCAGCCCACAAGCCTGGGAATCACAGGCAGGGGGCTACCCTGGGGACCTGTTGTAAGGGTTTCTCTGGCTCCTGGACGCCGTGGCTGCCAGCCAAGTATGGATCCTGGGCTATTTCCAGCCTCTCTCCATCCCCCTGTGTTGTGTCTGTCGTTCCTCCTCCAGTTACCCTGACCCATGCATTGTCACTCTCCCTCTTGCTCCTGCTCTCTTGTTCTCTCTCTCCCTCCCTCCTTCTCTCCCTCAGCCTCACCATGAACACAGTATTCTCTCAGCCTCACCATGAACACAATATTCTCTCGGACTCACTGAAGCAGCCAGGGGTGCAGAAGGATTCCCACACACAACTGTGCACTGGGGGATGCTTACCTGCAGGGCCTTGGGAAGAGGCAGCCCCTCTCACACACCCATGGAGACCCAACACACACATTTCAAAGAGCGAAGGCCCTTCCCAGGAACAGGCACTCCACAAAGTTTTTGACTCTATGAACCTGGGCAGCAGCTTCAGCTTCTCATCCCCTGGGGCCCTCCCCAGTGTGGGGATCACCAGTGCAGGAACCAGGAGAGGGAAAGGCCTCTCTGTGTTAGCAAGAGCAGCCCCGGGGCCAGAGGCCTAGTCTGGGGGGTGTGCCTGTGTGTCAGTGTGGAGTGTGAGTGGGTGTGCAAGCCAGTGCACAGGTGCCTCCCCTGCATGGGGTATGTTTTGAACAGGCTGTGGCTGGAACCATACTGGAACCAGTCTTCAGCTCGGCATTTTGGACCCCCAGCAGCTCAGGCTTCTGGGGGAGTTCAGTGGAAGAGGTTAGACCAAAGATTCTCAGCTCCTTCTGGGTCATGGTCTTGACTGGTCCTCTGAAGCTGGAGCAGCCAGGACTGAGTCCTCTGCAGATGGCTGGGCCTACCCCACTCATAGCTTCCTTCTCTTTGCCCAAACCCCCCCAAAGCAGATGCCACTCTGCTAAAGAAGCCAGAGAAACTGTTGGCAGGGCTGGACCGTGGCGGGCCACCCCCTGCCCTGGGGGCCCCCAGACGAAGAGGCAGTATGCCTGTCCCCTACAAGCATCAGCTGCGGCGGGCCCAGGCTGTAGATGAACTTGACTGGCCACCTCACGCCTCATCCTCTGGCTCCTCTGACTCCCTGGGCTCAGGGGAAGCAGCCCCTACCCAAAAGGACGGCATCTTCAAAGTCATGCTGGTGGGGGAGAGCGGCGTGGGCAAGAGCACCCTAGCAGGCACTTTCGGTGGTCTCCAGGGAGACAGTGCTCACGAGCTGGAGAATCCAGGTATTTGGGGGAGCCCTGCAAGGGTTGAGGGCACCTCTGGAGCCCTAGTGAGGGACGGACGAGCTCAAGGCATGAGCAGCCCTTGAGGCTAGAACCTAAGAGAAGCTGTCCCAATGCTTTCTGCAGTTACCTCCCTGGAGGGGGCTCCCTGGTGCTGGGACCTCAGGCATCCCTGGTTACCACGTCTTACAGGTGTTGGGGAGCCTCCTAATGTGCTCTATTACATGTCCTTATTTCCCAACAGAGGACACCTATGAGAGACGCATCATGGTGGATAAGGAAGAAGTGACTCTGGTTGTTTATGACATCTGGGAACAGGTGAGAACTAAGATGTGGCTGCAAGTAGGTGATGAAACCTGGGAGAGTTGAGGAGGGGCAAAGTCTGGCTGAAGGCTGGTGGGACGGCAGGCCCTGGTTTTAACATGTAATGGGACCTGACCTTTCACATGTATTGTCTCAGAGAGCAAAGGCCCACACAAGTGTGCATACGGTGGCACTGAGAGCCGCTGTCTGATTTCCAGGATATTCTAACCCACAGGAAAGTTAGGATCTGAATTTGGCAAACCCTGCAGCTGCAAGCCAGGCTGAACACCCTAAAACTGACCCACTCCATACATTTTTCAGCCTGGAAGAGTCTGATTAGACAAGACAAGAGCTCAGGGCTCTGAAATGTCACAGAAGGGGGAAAAAGTGAGGACTTGTGAATATTTGGACATAAATGATTACTATGCAGAAATGAGAGGCCAGATTACATACACTTGAATAGTATTCATTTTTTAAGAGCTTAAGCATAAGAAAGTAGGATGGGCCACCCTAGTCAAGGATCCTATGTTCCCCATTTGCCCATGAAGAGCTCGCATTACAAACTCCTCTCTTCTCCACACACTCTGGGTATGGAGATTCTGCCATTAACTAGCTCTGCTGTCCTAAGCAGGTGGCTTCTCCCTCACATCCTGGTTCCTTATCCTTGAGGTGCAGGTGCTGGATAGGTTCTCCCATGCCTCCAGCCCTGACATTCCACCACTCTCTGCCCATCTGCAGGAGGATGCAGGAGGGTGGCTGCGGGACCACTGCCTTCAGACGGGGGATGCCTTTCTCATCGTCTTCTCAGTCACCGACCGACGAAGCTTCTCCAAAGTTCCAGAGACCCTGCTACGGCTCAGGGCTGGGAGGCCCCACCACGACCTGCCTGTCATCCTCGTTGGAAACAAGAGTGACCTGGCCCGCTCCCGGGAGGTCTCTCTGGAGGGTGGGTATCCTGAATCTCATCCCTACTTGCATTCTCAGGGAATCCTCTCCCTGCCAGATCAACTCTTCTCTATAAGGCCCTTCTACGCTCCTGACCCTAGGGCCCTGAGACTCCCTCCTCTTCACACCCCTTGACCTCGCCTCTTCTCAAGGCTCTTTCTCCTTCCCCTCCGCGCCACCACCGCCCTCCACTTGATCCCTGCCTTGTTCTCTCAGTTGGGAGAGATTCACTCGCCCCAGTCCCTTTCCACTGCCCGCCCGGGATCCCCTCAGGCTCCCCCCATCCCACCCCGCCAGCGGGCGACGCGCC